TTTCTTTCTGCTTTGTTTTTTTTTTTTATAATATATTTTTTTTTATTTTTTGGAAGGATGTGACGGTGAAAGGTCGATGCTGTTTTCACAGAGGTCCTAAGGGATTGGGTAGGTCGATGCTGTGCTCTAGGCGGTCCTGAACGCCGCGGTACACAGAGGCATTTTATTCTTTTCGGATAGGATTTCTTACTATTGGACGGCTCCACACGCCAATAGTAATTAATAATATTTGGCCAACTGTGTTGCCAATCATAATATTTGGCTATTGTACGGCTCCACACGTCAATAGCATCTTTTGTATTAATAATTATATTGTTTTTTTTTTATTTATTTATTTATTTATTTATTTTTTTTTTTTATTTATTTTTTTTTTTTTTTTTTATTTAGATTATATTAGGTTAATAGTTTTGCAACAAAAATAGAAATTACCAGATTTGAACAACGAGCTATTCGTCGTTTTCCAACATGCCAGTAGACGATTGTTACTCGCTACAATGTTGAAGACTGAGTGGTGCAGAGTGGTCAGGTAGCGCAGGGCTCCCGACAGGCGACACGGCCGCCTGGGCGCCGGCTGCTGGCTGCGGCGCTCGCCTCAGCTGATCGTGAGCGACCTTGCGTGGTCGACCGTAATGACCTACTACCTTTTTCACGAGGTAGCGATCATTTTCTAAAACTCTGTATACTTCATAAGGGACACTAAATTTGAGGTCAAGGGATGTTTGGTTTCTAGGATTATTTTTTATTAGTACAAAGTCGCCGCGCTGGAATTTGTGAATTTGTGCGCGACCTCTATCGAATCTTTGCTTGTCTTTTACAGCCAAGTCAGTCATTCTTTGTTTAATATGTTGTTCTAATGCTACTACATCGATTGAATTGTTATCAAAATTAACTAGATTGAGAAGTTCAGGAGGTACGCAGTTTTGGCGTCTAGTCAGGAGTGTGAGTGGGGCTACTCCGGTTGTACCATGGACTGTGCAATTTAAAGCAAGTTGCAGACTTTCTAACGCCGTGTGCCACTCTGGACTTTCATAGTTTTTTATAATTACGAGTCCGTTTTTTAATGTTGCCATTACGCGCTCGACTTGTCCATTGGCTCTGCTAGCGCCTGGAGATATTGTATGTAACTCAATGCCAAACCTGTCACAGTAGTTTTTGTATTCGCCGAGAAATTCACGCCCTCCATCAACTATGATTTGTCGTGGTGCTCCAAATAGATGAATGACACGTTTGAGCGCTGCGAGGGAGCTATGTTGACTTTTATCATTAGTATAATGAAACATAACATATTTAGTAAAGGCGTCTACTGTTACTACTACGTATTCTTGGTTAGCAGAAGTTCCGAGTTTACCAGTAATATCCATGTGTATTACTTCAAATGGGCTTGTTGGCTTAGGGATCGGATGTAGTTGTATTTGTGATGCTCCGGAGGTTTGTTTAGAGGTTCTACAAACAACACAGTTATCGACGAAGTCTCTAATAAAACTATTCATTTTATCGAAGTGATAACTCTCTCTTATTTTGTGTAAAGTCTTGTCCCACCCTGGATGTTTTAGGGCTGTGTGGTAAGTATTTGTAAGGCTCCATTGAAACGCCTTGGGAACTATTGTAAGGGTTTGATCACCTGCCACTGGGTCCGTTCTCTTAGACTTGAGTAGGCCATCTTCAAGGAAGTATCCAGTGACTTCATTGCCAGCATGGATGGAATCGATAATGGGCCTTAACTGCGCGTCGCGACGTTGTTCTATTTTTAGCCAGTCTAGATTACTTGACATGAGGTTGACAGTCAGAGGATCAGGATTCCTGCTCAAAAAATCTGCATGCTGCATCCGCTCGCCCTTCCTGTATTCTATATCAAAGTCAAAATTTTGAAGGTAAGCCCACCATCTATGTATTCTAGGTAATAAGTCTTGCTTGTGTTTAGAGGCTTTCAAAGCATTGCAGTCGGTAATTACTTTGAACTTACGTCCATACAAGAAGTGGCGAAAGTGTTTTATAGCTCTGACGACTGCTAGTGTCTCGAGCTCATACGAGTGATATCTACTCTCTATTTCTGTTGTACGCATGCTAAAATATGCAATGACATGTTGTCGTTCATTTATTAACTGAATGAGTATCGCACCAAAGCCTAGACTGCTAGCGTCAGTAAATAGCTCTATAGACTTGCCTTCTTGGAATATAGTGAGGACAGGAGTAGAAGTGAGATGATGAATGATTTTTTGACGTGCCTCTTCATGTCTATGACTCCATTCCCACTTAGTCCCTTTTTTAGTCAGGTCGTACAGTGGTGACATAGTTCGCGCAAAATCAGGTATAAAACGATGAAAATATCCAGCCAAGCCATTAAATTGTCGTATCTGTTTTACAGTAGATGGTACAGGGGCCTTTATTAGAGCCTCTACTTTTTTTTTACTCGGGCGAACCTGACCATTTTCTATTACGTTTCCAAGATACTCTATTGACCGTTTAAAGAATAGGCATGTATCAATATTTATAGAAAATCCCGATTCACGTAACGCTATAAAGATTCTCTCCAAGTAAGAGATGCCCGATGTGAAATCACGACATTTGGAGATGACGTCATCGATATAAACCTGGGCCACGCTATCGTTATGTAAGGTATTAGCACTACCAGGGTTTAGGAGCTGTCCTAGGGCTCGGTTTATACATCGTTGATACACGGAAGGTGCATTACAAAGACCAAAGGGCATCGTTAAATATTCATAAAGTCCGTCTGGTGTTACAAATGCGGTCTTTTCGATTGAGTCTGGCGAGATAGGTATCTGGTGGAAACCAGATGCCATATCAAGTGTGGTGTAATACTGTCCACCTGCCAGTTGATCAATCTGGTCAGCAATAAGTGGAAGAGGGAAATGGTCGCGTATTGTATTAGCGTTTAGCTCCCGATAGTCAACACACATACGGTCGTCTCCATTTTTCTTTCTTACTAGAATTATTGGGCTGGAATAAGGTGATCTGCTCTCACGCACTATATTGGCTTTGATGAGTTCCTCCACAATGTCTTTGACCTTTGTGCGTTCGACTGGACTGAGTCTGTAAGGCCTTCGCTCAACATATTTATCTTTATTTTTCAAACGGATTTCTAATTCGCCGGTTTTAACGCGCGTTTTTGAATACCCACGTGTGAAAAGTTCAGAATATTTGTACAATAAAGTAAGGAGTTGGTTGATTTGATGTTCGTCAGTCAAGTCGTGGTCAATTTTCTCAAATAAGGGGCTCTTTGACTGTATGTATTGAATACAAGGATTATAACAAAGTCTTGCTCTTTCTCTAGTTACGATTACACTAAGACCAGAACTATGTAGTATGTCTGCTCCAATTAAAACATCTGTTGTCATGTCGTGGTCAGGTAGAATATAAAACAATATCTCTACGTTAACGTCGTCGATTATGCACACTGCTTTCAGCGTGGACGTGGAAATAATGGGAAATGGACCTATGCCTCGTAGGTATGTGACTATTTGACATCTACGCCCGGGTAACTTATTCGCAACGGATTCTCGCATGACCGAGCATTCCGCACCGCTATCAAATACCGTGTTAATAAGTTTTCCACAGACACTCATACGCATTACATTTAAAGTATTTCCTTTATTTGCGAGTGAGTTTACATTAGAAGAAATCTCCTTTTCTCTCCGAAAGCAAGTATCAAACACGTGACCTGGTTTACCGCAAAACGAGCAGTGTTTAATATTGTGAGGTCTACCACTTTGAGGATTGGCTGCGTTTTTGTCATTGATTAAATTTAAGTCAGCAGATTTCTTATTACGACAATTATTCAACGTGTGACCAGTTCTTTTACAAAAATTACAATATTGCGCAGTATGCCTATGGTCAATTGTATATCGCGCACGTTTTTGGAGAGGTTGATCGACCCTAAGTTGACTTGAACGTTTACTACGGATAGATGAAGCAACCGAAATTAATTCTGGCACTGAGGTAGCTCTTGCGTTCATTAACTCTATTCTAAGACGTTCGTCACCGATAGTACCAAGAACAGCTTCAACAGCATCACTGTTATCTAACTTATCCTTAGTTACGCGTCTCCATAAAATCCACGATTGAGTTAAGAATTCGGCAATATCTTTAGAAGAATCATAGGTATGCTCTCTGAATTTAAGTACGTCTCTCGAATAGCGAGATTCAGGTTCAAAAGTAGTAATAATTATTTGCTGCAGCTCGTCCCAGGTACTGGTGGTCACAAGCCAGTTATCAGCCCATACTTTAGCACGACCCCTCAATAAGCTTGTCACTTTCATTCGTAAATCGTAATCAGTTAGCTGATAGGTGTTTTTAGCCGTTGAAATGTGGTTACACCATTCACGGACCCCAACGTTTCCATCGGGATCATAGGAAGGTAGGAAAACGTCAGTAATTTTAACTCTGTCAGATTGCTGTTGATTTAGTAGCCTATCACTCATATTTTGCATAACATTCATCATTTGTAAGAAAAAATTAGGTGGTACATCACCGGGCTGCTGTTGGAGTACCGTAGCTGTAGGTGCGCCTTGTTGAGACGGGCCTGCACAGGTTTCTATCGGTGCTGAAGGTGGCGACCTGGAAACACCGGTCACGTCCGCTTGTATCGTTGCACTCGCTGCAGAAGTATTTCGCTCGGTGTCACTCATAACGTAGCCGTAGGGTTTGGTTTAACGTCAGGATCTGAAAAAATGTTATGACCGGGGCAGAAAGGGGATCGCTGGAGCTATCCCACTTCTGATGTCGGAGTAGGAAAGCAGGAATACTTTTTAAAAGCCGCAGAACCGTTGACCTATAATAGGATCATCGGTTCTACTAGTGGTAGTAGTTTGACATTACATTAAAATAATAAAAGAACAAGCGAAATTAGATTAGTTTATTATTATAATAATAATCTCTAAATATGATTATAGTCTATCTTTCATTTTATTTTATAACACAATACTTTTCTAATGTGATTATAATTACAAATTGATTCTACTAAAGTAACAAGAGTTTTCAACTTACTTCCACGCCGCTCGAGCACCGAACACAGAATGAATCTTATTCACAAGACCAGCCATGTGGTCAAATCGTGTTCCCTCCAACTTGAACGCGCGCTCAAGTCGGAAGGTGTCGATCGCCACAGTGCCGGAAGTAAAATACCATTTTTGCCTAAGGCTTATAATTAAACAATAATAAAGCGGCATAATTACTTAAATTACCGTCTAGTTATTTTAATAATATTAGCAATTAAATAAAGCCATAAACTTGTAATATTAATAAATTTGACTTACACTATTAACCGAATCATCCGGATGTTTTTCATGTTGATTTTAGTTAACAACTTAAATGCAAAATAATTGAACGTTACATTATTGTTAAAAATAACTTTTTGGTATTTAAATTTAAATCAAGATGATTGCATTATTTTCTTTTTAAAATGGTTACAAGATTTTATCAAAGTTTTAATTATTGTGAAGGAAATCCGCACGCAAATGGCGGACGTTACGCAACATCCGACATTCGCTCGACATAGATAAATTTATTTACAATTCACATAACAATTGCTTAAATCATAATAAATTTTAATATTTAATTTAGTTTTTACTATACTCAGTAATTTTAAACAACAAACATAAGTTGTTTAAAAGTAGTGATAATGACGCCATCTATCGGCATTAATTGAAGTGATTATGTGTTGATATTAAGCCACATGGTGGCTCCATCTATCGTCTTTATATTAAAGATGTAATGAATGTGATTCAATTTCTATTAATATTGGTAATCAATATGGTAAATCAACAGCAGATACGTCATTCACCTCCTTATTTTTATTTTGTGGGTTATAATGTAGCTGCGGCGACATATATAGTATTCATTTTAGCATGCCAAGACAAAAGTACAGTTATGCTACAAATAAAACCTACCTACCCTGCTGCACTATGAAAAGCACAAGAGCATGGTATTTCGTCACACTAATGGCAATTAATTGTTAAAATTAAAAAAGAGAACATTTTAGTGTTTTTAAAAATAACGCTTATCTGAGAGAAAAATGTAAGAAAATGTAAACAAATTTTACTTTATGTTTATTTTGTAGTTTTTTCTAAATCAAAATAGGGTTATTGTTTATAAAAATACCATTATTATTTTTACGTACATTTGTCTTGTGTTATTTCATCTAGTATGCAATGTGGATTGTAAATAAATTACCAAATTATATATAAATTATATTCCTTAATGTTTAGAGATATTTTATCCAATTTACTTTATTTTATTTTACACAATACAGATATTTCTAAATTGCAGCCATTCTGTTATTATACTCGTTGGACTTTCATTACTGTACAGTTATGTCAAATAATTATGCGTGTTTGGGTGAAAAGTCAACAACATTATAAATGTTTTTATTTAGAGACTAGCTTTTAGCTCGCGGCTTCGCCCGCGTGAATATGGGATATATAGGTTATCGCGCGTTTAAAGATCCGTGTATAGTATTGGGACGTTATATATAAACCTTCCTCTTGAGTCTATCTATTCTGTCTATTAAATAACAACGAATCAAAATCTGCGTAGTTTTTTAAGATCAAAACATACATAGATCTATTACATGTGTAAATGATATTTTAACCGGAAATTGAAGCCGTTAAAATGGTATTGGCAGATCAGTTGGAATCATCGGTATTCTTGGTATATAAGCTGGTTGCCCAGCTAACGTACCGGTTATAATGGTCTACAATTAAATTGTCTTTCAATTCTTTAGTCAAGCAACATATCCAATGGGCTTAAATTTCATGACTGGATCATGCTTTTGAGAAATTCCTTCCTCAAGTTTAAGCAGTTAGTGTGGGAAATCACTATCTGTGCTTCCATAAAAATGAGCTCTCAAATTTGTCAGTAGTTTTAAACTTTCAATTAAAGTCCATAAGGGAGACGATGTTAATGACACAGAGAGTCTTTCAGAAATCTCCAGCAAAAGTATAAAAGTAATCCCGCCAATGAGAGCAGAGGTTTCTAAGGTTCCCTATAGCTCATGGTAATTTCATTACATATAATCAATGAGGCGTCTTGTAATAATTTATAAAAAGGTTTGATATTAACAAGTAATTATTTATCAAGAATCAAGAATCGGCCAACCAAGAACGAGAAGCTGCAATATCAGCCAATATCATGCGGCGACGTCAATGATGCAGGAACAGATAGATAGAGAGAACAGGAATGATAGCAGTTGAAGCTTTTTTTTTTGAAAGGGGTAACCGTCGCCTATATACATGAGCAGTACTTGACATGTTCATATCAGCATATTGTTTCCCTCATGCGTTGCCATTCCTGAAAACTCGGGTGTTATTCCCCTGTACCCTGTAAATTCACTACCATATATATACACAGGTAGTCTATATAGATAGATATACATATACACAGATAGTATACCCTTAGAAAAATCATAGACTACTTTATAGTGCGAAAAAAGTATTGTAAGGGATTAAAAGCTGAGATGAAAGGTTGTATAAAAGTATCGTCGTTGTTTAAGTGAAACAATGAAACTTTTTTAGGTTATAATCTAAATATATTTCCTTTATTTGGTCAATTTCATTATACCACGCTGACGAAGTCGCGGACACACCTAATATACATATAAGGATGGGACCTTTAAATCAAAACAAAGCCTTGAAAACACAACTATTATATATAAATAAAATAATTATTTGCTAAGTATAATATTTAGAACAAGTGAATATGGCAATAATGTATCCGACTCTTATAATAAATTATATTGTATCTATTAATAAATAAATTGATTTAATATGTAAGAAGAATTAAATAGTAAAATTATGTTATAGTAATTTCATCTTCCTGTCCTTATCCCAATTATTTGTTACTCATATTACTTAGCTTTTAGTTGTAAAATCAGCCAGCATCCTGACATCAACCCTCTAGGAATAATATAATAAAAAAATATGGTCATTATTACACTTTGATAATTAAGATAAATCACGTTATTTAAAAAATTCAATAAGTAGTTTATGTTATTCAGTTAAGTAAAAACATATCACATTATTAATTAAAATATTGCAAGGATCAAAATGGTTCATACTAAATCCACACCGATTGCGCTACACGGTTATTTGCGTCTGTGTGCGTGTATTACTGTGTGTGTGCGTAAATCCATGCGATTAAACCTAAAGTTGAGCGGCATCATTTTGTAATAGGCCTCTTAAGCCGCTATACCTGGGACAACATTCAGGTATTATAAAAATACATTACCTGGAACAATCATCAGGTAACATCTTCTCAATCCAGTCAAACGGGATAGTCAGTGCATAATTTATAATAAAATTACATCCTTGTTCCAGTTCATTATTCATTTATTATCGTCTGAACTGACAGTTTCATGTACCTAAGTATATACATGACTAGTACAATGCATGGTTAAATCTTTATATATTTTCTTTTAATTCAAATTTCTTATTAATTTAATTTTTAAAATTTCTTATATTTTTAATTTTCATATTAATTTAAAATTTCTTATTAATGTCTTATTAAAATTGCTTTAATTAAATTTTCTTAATATCTTTTCTTTCCTAAAGTTCATATCTCAATAAAACCTCGTATTCATCGATTACGTTTCATAAGGACCCGAATATATAGGAAGCATTATTTTTGACTGTGTATATAATTAACCCCCTTTTTATGCTCACCAAGTTTCAAGTCTATGCTACATCATTTGGATTCACCTAATTCGTACATATGTCTATGAACAAAATAAAGCCTAGTACTACTTGATTATAGCGCACTACTTGTTGACTAGTTCTGGGGTACGCAGCTGTATTTAAAATGTGTAAAGTTTAATATGTTGCAATTTACATGTTTTATTTTGTTTATGAAATTTTCCATTACCCATTATCAACTATTTCAAAACACTGTAAATCGTCTAACACTTCGTAGTAATGTTACAAATAAAATAAAACAATATTTATTCATATTGGCCCCTACGGCCTCTAATACATGACATATCCCCCTTTAAACTCCTTTAGACTCCCGTAAACCTAACAACCATATAGGCTGTTCAGGGGTAAACCGTCCCATTCTCTTTTTTTTTTATTTCAGTAAAAGTCGCTTTAATGTGATACAATCTAACAATATTACAAAATGAACATAAAAGACACCCAGGATCTATTTCAGGACGTTACAACAGCTAGTAAAATAAAAATAAAACAAATCTTGTCTCATTTCGGTCATAGAACAGTGCACTAACGCATCTAAAAATCAGTTGTAATGGCATTAAAATACCATGAGTAGGTAGGTATAGCTATTGATAAATTTATAAAATGGGGTTTACACATAACCAAATTTATAAATAAATTAAACCGATTTACATACGTATGTACTAAAATGACTTCGACAAGTTGCTACCCTAAAAGAATCACTTTCGTCTTATCATGACTATGTTTCATCACTTCTGAAATATGTTATTGTTATTATTATTATTTGGTAGTTATTATTATTGGATATCATCTTAATGGGTAAATAATCTACATTAATAATTCCGTCAAGGGGTACGGTAGACTCGAACGAAGCCTTATGTGAATAACAAAACATAAAAAAATATTTATTTCGAGTCGACAACATATGTATATTGACAAAATTCGGATTATGGAGTACTAGCTGTACCCGCGACTTCGTCCGCGTAAATAATGAAAAAATATTTAACTCAATTAACACAATATAAGTCAAATAAATAAGTTTCATCGTTTTAGCTTCAAAAATGATAAAAAGTAAAAATAAATATTTAATCAATAGGCTAAAAAATAAATTTCAAGCTTCTAGCTTTAAACATGACGATACATCTATATAACCTTGGATCTACCCTTTCAATCCTCTTGCAACCCTTTTTCACATTAAAAAGTAACCTATGTCCTTTCTCAGGATCTAGTCTATCTATGTCTGTTTCAAATTTCAATTTAAATCGGTTCAGTATTTTTGGCGTGTAAGCGAGACAAACAGACAAAGTTACTTTCACATTTATAATATCAGTAAGGTATTTAATAAACTAACCCTAAAAAGACAAAGAAAAAAGTTTAATCGTTCTAGCTTCCACAACCACACAAACAGCAAATTTCCACAATAACTTTCATTCTCTATTTTATTTTACTACCCCCCCTCTCCCTAAGAGTAAAAATTTTACAAACATTGAATGTCATATTTATTGATATTTAAACAACAGCCTAAAAATGAGTTTCAAACTTCTAGTTTTTAAAAATGACGATTCTTCCATACAATCTTTCATCCCCTATTTTATTTTACCCCCTTAAGGGTAATTTTTTTACAAACAATGAATGTCATATGTATTTATATTTAATCAACAGTCTCAACAATAAGATTCAAGCTTCTAGCTTCAAAAATGACGAATTTACATAAAAACTTGCATCCCCTATTTTATTTTACCCCTTAAGGGTAATTTTTTGCAAACATTGAATGTCATTTTTATTTATATTTAATCAACAGTCTCAAAAATAAGTTTCAAGCTTCTAGCTTCAAAAATGACGATTCTTCCATACAATCTTTCACCCCCCTTTTAACCCCTTACAACCCTTTTTCGCATTAAAAAGTAGCCTATGTCCGTTCTCAGGGTCTAGACTATCTGTATACCAAATTTCATTCAAATCGGTTCAGTAGTTTTGGCGTGAAAGCGAGACAGACATAAAAGAGTTACTTTCACATTTATAATATTAGTTTCTGTCGCAGCACAAAAATATATTTTTATCGTTTCCGTACAAATAATAATTTTACAGTATTAATCTACAAACCAACATTTTGTTTCTTACAATCAGCTAAATAATTTAAATAGTTCCATAATATATGGCACAATGAAAAGGTCATTTATTTTATAAAAAAGACAGTTAGTTTTTATTTTAGTGAAAAATAAGAAAATTCTATTTTGATACAACAACCATATATTTATTAATACCTATACTTTATTAATTTTGTGTTAATGCTTTTTAAATAAACACCCACACATTATTTCTGTATAACCTACAAAAATGGGTAAATAATTTAATTTCGGATAGTGCCACACCACAACATTCTTTAAAAAATGTAAATAATAAAATGTGAAGAAATTGTGTTTGTTATTAAGTTTTTTTTTTTTTTTAGTTTGTCAGAACAGGGAAACAACATTTGACATTTATTATTATTGAACATTGGACATTGACTTTAATTTTTGTAATTTATATTGTAAAACTTTAAGTTGGGCTAAACTGGGCTTGTATCCAGAGCCGTAAAACAAATTAATAAAAAAAATCTCCAAATTTGTCTCGCAATCGGCCAATTTCAGGTTTAAAGAAAAAACACATACACACGATATACGATTTTATCATAAAAAAGTGTCAAAAAACAATATTTTCACTAAACGTCAACGTCATGTTTCCGGCAAGATCTTTCGTTTTACATTATGTTATCTGTGGTTTTGTTCTCTGTGATGGATACCTTATTGGCGCAAACGCACGCGATGTGTTGATTGGTTGTTAGCTAGTGAAATGAAACGATGACGAATAAGGATTCAACCGCATAAAGATAACCTTGTATTTCCATTTTGAACCCCTTACAACCCTTTTTACGCATTAAAAAGTAGCCTATGTCCTTCCTCTGCGTCTATACTATCTGCGTACTAAATTTCATTTAAATCGGCTCAGTAGTTTTGGCGTGAAAGCGAGACAGAACAGACAGACAGACAGACAGACAGACAGACATACAGAGTTACTTTCGCATTTATAATATTAGTATGGATTTCGTTAAATTCTAATAAATTTCACTGACAAAAAAACTGCAGTCGCCATCTTTTCATGTCACTAGCTAACAACCAATCAACACTAGGCGTGCGTTCGCGCCAAAGATCCGTCACAAAGAACTGTGACATATGACATGTGGCGTTGACGTTTCGCGAAAATATAGTTTTTGACAATTTTTTATGACAAAAGAGTATACAGTTATGTGTTTTTTCTTTAAATTGACCAATTGCGAGACAAATTTGACAATATTTTTTATTAATTTGTTTCACGGCTCTGAATACAAGTCCTTTTTAGCCCAACTTAAAGTTTTACAATATAAATTACAAAAATTTTAGTCAATGTCCAATGTCAAATAATAATAAATGTCAAATGTTGTTTCTCTGTTCTGATGAACTTATTAAAAAAAACTTAATAACAATCACAATTTCTTCACATTTTATTATTACACACATAATGCCAGGTATTTGCATTTTTTAAATAAGGTTGTGGCACTATTGGAAATTAATGTTATTTACCTATTTTTATAGGTTATACGGAAATAATGTGTGGGTGTTTATTTAAAAAGCATTAACACCAAATTAATAAAGTATAGGTAGGTATTAATAAATATATGACTGTTGTATCAAAATAAATTTTATTATTTTTCACTAGAATAAAGACTAAAACAAATTACCTTTTCATAGTGTCATATATTATTTAACTGATTGTAAGAAAAAAATGTTGGTTTGTAGATTAATACTGTAAAAATTAGTATTTGTACGGAAACGACAAAAATATATATTTATTCTGTATAATACTATGACAGTAGTGGAAACATTAGTATATCTACGTAAATTATACAATTCTGTTATGGAAACGTCATATTAAACTTTAAAACTAATTTGTTAGAATAAAAGTTTCCGATTAAACAAATCGGTATGGCTACCCCGCTACAGGTGGTAACATTTTTTTTGGTTCTGTTTAACCTTAATCGGAAAGGTAAAGGGAACTGCGCCCATAGAGCCGAGGTGGTAACATTATTTGAAAAATTGACATTTAAACCTGTATAGGTATTAATAAATATGTGGTTGTTGTATAAAAATAGATTTTGTTATTTTTCACTAAAATAAAGACTAACTGCCTTTTTTTTTTATAAAACAAATGACTTTTTCATAGTGTCATATATTATTTAGCTGATTGTAAGAAAGAAAATGTTTTGTAGATTAATACTGTAAAAATTACTATTTGTACGGAAACGACAAAAATATATATTTATTCTGTATAATACTACGACAGTAGTGGAAACATTAGTATATGTACGTAAATTATACAATTCTGTTATGAAAACGTAATATTAAACTTTAAAACTAATTTGTTAGAATAAAAGTTTCCGATTTAACAAATCGATATGGCTACCCCGCTACAGGAGAAAAATTGACATTTAAACCTGTCAATTTAGTCTCCCGGATTAAAAAACAAACTATAGCCAAGTATGGCACTTACAAATGAATTACTAGGCTACTTGGTATCCCTGTAGCCCCAAGCCCCGCATGTTTATGGGGGCTTGACCCCAGAATGGGAGCATAGCAAATGGCTAACGCGGGACGAGAGGGAAGGTTGAAAGGAAGAGAAAAAGAGGAAGAAGGGGAAAAGGACGGTGGTGGATCACGTCGTCGTACTGAAAGAGCGACAAAACTAGGAACTCGACAAATCCCGGAGAGTCGCGCGGACTAAATAAAAAAAAAGAATGTAAATGACGAAAAAGAATGGGAAAGATGTTTGGATGAAGCAATTGGTTTTAAATATCTGGCAAAATAGAGAGTGCTTAAAACAAAGAGGTTAACAGAGAATAAACCTTAAAAATTATATGTTTTGTTAATTTATTTTGAATGTTGATTTAAAATAAAAATTATTTGTATACTACTTTTGCACTTATTATTTACTATAGTATTTATTAAACACAATGAAAGAAGCTTTACGTATTTATGCCTTGCTTACTTAATATTCTTTTAGAACCGATGACTACAGAAATATCTACCCGAGCGAAGCCGGGTTTTCATCTAGTATAAAATATTTTCGGCTCCGTATACATTTATGAGATGTCTATTTCCAATAAATATAGCTAGATTGTAAGAGACAAATTATGTAATTTTCCAGTTATAACTGCTTTATCATCTAGTAGAGCTTTAGGACTGACCTAAAATATATAATATACTTCCTAAGAATCTATATCACAATTTAACACAGTTCTCATAAATACCCTCATAGACAAAAATCTATTATCCAGTTATGAAACTGGTAACTGCACGGATCTCGACAGTATATCAACCTTGTTAATAATTAATATTATAAGCCTTTTTTTTAAACATTCCCACCAATGTGATCAGAAGCCACTGATGGAATGCAAACTTAAATTTTTTTTTTCATTGTATTATCACTTTCAACGAGGCAATGCGAAGTGAGATGTAAATATGTTGCTCCATGCAACCATCTATTTCAGCAGACTCGTTACCTCAACGAATCCATCAAAATGGATCAAATTCCTGTATTATATTTCTATCGTATTGCTTTGTTTTTATTCTTTTTTTTTTTATTAGTATCATTAGTATAATTTAAACGTATCTATTCTATTCTTGTTTAAAACGCTAGTTAAACCAGAACAGACGGAGTCCGGATGTTACTGTGATGTCCGGAAGCCACTGACCTGCGGTGTTTCAAGTGATATTGATCGGCTACGGCGTGTCGACAGTCTGCAGTTCTGTTGAGCGGCTCGGAATTGTCGACCAGCTCGGGCCTGTCGAGCGCCAGAGGCGTATCGACCGGCCTAGGCCCGTTGACCGGCTCGGGCCTACTGACCGGCTCGTGCCTGTTGAACAGCTCTGGCTTGTCGACCAGCTCGGGCCTGTCGAGCGCCAGAGGCGTATCGACCGGCCTGGGCCTGTTAACCGGCCTGGGCTGGTGAACGGCTCAGGCTTGTCGACCAGCTCGGGCCTGTCGATCAGCTCGCGCCCAACGACCAGCTCAGGCCTGTCGAGCGGGTCGGGCCTGTTGACCGGATTGGGCCTGCCCACCGGCCTGGGCCTGTCGATCTGACAACGACCCGTCGACAGGCTTTACATTCATTTCTTAACTTAGGGATTTCAAGGGAAGATAATCCGTCAGGAGGAACCAGAATCTATTTCATGGATACCCGCAATCTTGTTTTTTTTTTGGTCTTACCGGGTAATGTCAATGTCAATGTCGGTTGGACTCCATTTTCCGCAATTGGCCTCTCATTCGGGCCGTTGTGCGTGTAGAGCCAGGCTACTAGCGTAGCCAGCCAAGCTCCTCCCAGAAGCCCAGAAGTCTTCTCGTGTCTTCGCAGGCTTCTCGGAGCGACCTCACCGTTCCGAGGATTTGATTTCGTTGTGTGGTCACTGCTTCGCACTCCAGGATTACGTGAGCGGCCGTTTCCTCGGCTACAAAGCAGCCCCGGCATAGGGGACTGTCTGTAGCACCACCTATTGTGTACAAATGTCTGTTTAAGGGACAGTGGCCCGTCATTGTCCCTATCATTGTTTTTATGTTATGCCTGTCCAGATTTATTAGGCGTTTTGTCATTCGTTGATTTGTTCTGGGAATTGCCACTTTTGATTGTTTACAATCGGTGGTTTGTTTCCATCTTTGGTTTTGTATCTCAGTGGATCTTTGGCGAATCCAGGATCGAAATTGTGAGAATGGTATTGGCAGAAGCGGGAGGGGGCCTGCTACCGTCATGCCTGATCCTCTTCTCGCCAATTCGTCCGCGGCATCATTTCCATATGATCCACTATGCCCTTTTATCCACTGGATGGTTACACCGTTGTGCTCTGCCACTTTATCCATGATATTGTGACATTCGATTATTAATCTGTTGTTTGATTTCCTGTTCTGTAGTGCTTTTAGCACGGCTGCACTGTCCGATATAAATTTTAAGTTGAAGTTGTTGACACCTAACTTTTGCACTGTTCGTGCTGCCTCAGTCAGGGCAACGCATTCACATTGGAAAATCGAACTGTGTGGGCCGAGTGGTATGTATAAGTTCATGTTGAGGTCAAGGGAGTGGGCTCCTGCTCCTGAACCGTTATGTGTTTTGGAGCCATCTGTGTATATGCGCAGTTCATTTACAGCAGATTGGTCTTGATTCATTTGTATTTGGTATTTTCTGTTAAATGAGTGATAAGTTTGAGTTCTGTCACACGGAGCTGCAATCAAAGGTTCGTGTTCGATTGCTTGGTTCAGGATGTGAGTGTGAGAACTATTATGGTTTTTGCCCCATAGACCAAGATGGTATAGTCTTATGGCAGCTATGGCTGCCTCCTGTTGTATGTACAAATCGAGGGGTGTTATATTGAGGGCTATTTCAATTGCTGTTGTTGGGGTAGTTTTCATACATCCCGTGATTGCAGAGCATGCAAGTCTTTGAAAGGACTTTAGTTTGTTGACTGTGGTCGTGAGTTTCGACCTTGTCCACCAAACCAAGGCCCCGTACACGAGCATTGGTCTTATCACAGCTGTGTATAGCCAGAGTGTTATTTTTGGTGTAATACCCCACTTATTTCCTAGCATCTTTCGACATTGATAAAATGCTATGGTACTTTTGTTAATTTTGTGGTCAAGATGTTTGTTCCATAGGAGCTTACTGTCCAGTATAACTCCCAGGTACTTGACTTCTTCTTTTAGGTTAAGGTCTGTGTTAAAGAGTTTCGGTGTCCTGAAGGTACCAGGAGCTCTTTTGTTAGTAAACATGATTAGTTCTGTTTTGGAAGGATTTACCGAGAGTTCGTGGTTTTTACACCATCTCTCTACAGTTCTGAAGGCTTCTCTCATGCGGTCGCATAGAGTTCCTTCAAATTGTCCTGTTATCAGTATGGCAATATCGTCAGCATACCCTACCGTGTAGAGGTCGTTGTCGTTGAGCTCCTCAATGAGTTCGTTAACAACTAGATTCCAAAGAAGAGGTGATAGGACCCCTCCTTGTGGACATCCTCTGCTCACGATACCTCGTGTGGTAGTGTTAACGGTAAACTGAATTGCACGGTTCTTTAGCATGTTGCTTATCCATTCTATGATAGTTAAAGGTACTCCATGTATGGCAAGAGCCCGGCTTATGCTGGTAAAATTTGTTTTATCAAAGGCCCCTTCGATGTCTATAAAGGCACCTAGTGTTGGCTGCTTTGAGTGTAACGAGTTACCAATTCGGGTTACTACGCTGTGGAGTGCTGATTCCGTTGATTTACCTTCGCTGTAGGCATGTTGGTTAGGGTGGAGTGGTTTGTTTGTGGACACAAGGTCTCTGATTTCTTTGTCGCATAGTCTCTCCAAAGTTTTTAGTTAAAACGATGTGAGACTAATTGGTCGAAAGGATTTGGCCTGTGTATAATCACCTCTGCCTGGTTTTGGGATGAAGATTATTTTCACTTCGCGCCATTTCAAAGATATGTATCGGTGTGCCAGACATGCTCGAAATAGCTGAACGAGTTGTTCGGCTATTATGTCTCCGCTCCATCTAAGGAGGGCCGGAAAGACACCATCTAGTCCCGCTGCTTTGAAAGGCAGGAATGTGTTGATTGCCCATATTAGTTTTTCTTTGTCTATTATTTTGCTAGCTACCTCCCAGTCCGAGCTGCTGGTTGTCCTGTCTTCCTGTGAATTCCATGAGTGGTTATTGTCCACTAGAAATCCTGGGAAGTGAGTTGACAGTAGTATTTCGCAAGTTTCTGTGTCATTTGTTGTGTAGCTGTTATCTGGTTTTTTTAGACAGCCTATTGTGTGGTCTTTCTCCTTGGAGAGACACGCTTTTACCTTGACTACTTGGTTGTTGTTTTCTATATTTGTGCAGAATCGCCTCCAACATTCCTGTCGTCGTTGGCGAATTAGTTTTTTATATCTTTTTCTCGAAGTAGTGTATTTGTCCCAATCACTTTGTGACCTACTATTCATGGCTACGTTGAAAGTTTTCCTTAATTTCCGGCGGTGTTTCTCTAGTTCGAGACACCACCAGTGTTGCCTACCTCTGATTTTGGGTACGGTGAGAGGGCAAGACTGTTCGTAGCACGTGGTTAGTATGGACGTTATGTTGTCTGCGTGGTTGTCTATTTCCGTTTTGTCTAGTTTTATTGAGAGTACGGATTGTTTTGCTACGTACGTTTTGACCAATCCCAGGAATTTGAATTTGCCAGTGTTACGAGGAATCCGTCTCGGCTGTGGTTTAGGTAACTGCATGTCGATTGTAAAGCGGATCCATCTATGATCAGAGCATGATAGTTCGTTGGACACGTACCAGTCACGAACATGCTCCGAGATGCCTGTCGATGTCAGTGTTATGTCTATGATGGTTTGTGAACGAGCGTTTATGAATGTAGGTTCGGAACCTTTATTGAGCAGTGTGAGGTTATTGCTAAAAATAAAAAGAGCTAAGTCCTCACCTCTGTTGTTGGTCTTACTGTTTCCCCATAGCGTGTGGTGCGCGTTGGAGTCAGCGGCGACGACCAGTTCCAGCTTCTCCCTCTCGCAGTACTCGACCAGCTGGCTGAGTTCTGGAGGTGGCACCTCCCCGTCGCTCGGCAGGTATGCTGAGGCGAGGACGATGTCCGGGAGATTTTGTTCTACACTGGTTATTCTGACTGTTGTTAGATCCCTTGAACAGAATTCGTTTATCAATAATGTTGGAACATGTTTTGGTAGGAAAATACAAGTCCTTTTTTTTTTTTTTTTCCACGTCAGGAAAATCCATCATGGAGAACCATTCCCTTAGGGAAGAATGGATACTGCCGGACTCCTACCTGCTAAAAACCTGACGACTGTTCCTCCTCGACATAATCGCCGTGGCCATGGGATACGCAAAGCATTCACCAAGACCACCGGCATGGTTCCCATCTAAGGGACCTCCATCTAGGCGTGCAGGGAACAGTCTCTGCACGCCACCTCCAGACCCTAAAACCTCCCCGGCGAGCTTCGGATTGCCCTAACAATCCTCCACCCTAGGGTCAATTTTGGAGTCGATGCACACCTGATTTTACTCAAGTGTCCATCGACTCCCCCCCACCTGTGGCCCGTGCCGCGGCTCGGGCCTTTGGCGGGCGACACATGTTCGTGACGCCCACTCTATGGTCGGACTTGCGACCCGCCGCGGCACAGTACCGGCATTTCGGTGATGGCGCGGCGCACCGTGCGGCCTTATGGCCGGGCTCGCTGCAGCGGAAACAAATTCCGCTGCTGTCTTCCCCGGCGGTGCATCGGATACCCACATGGCCTGTAAGTAGGCACCGATAGCACCGCTGAGGACGCGGGTCCAGCGACTGTACCCGCGCCATCACCCACCCTATCTTTAGCCGGCCGGCCTCGGCTAGCTTCCTCGCAGCGGCTACAGGGCACCGCAACCACACGGAGCCCGTACCCTGAGTGTTGCGCCGGATTTCCCCGGTCTTCACCGAGGACTCCGGGCAACCCCCCTCACGCATCACGGCTACGACCACGTCGGCCACCATCACCGAGTCGTCCAGATCTCCGATCCGCAGTTCGGCCGACTTAACTGGCCTGGAGACCCGGACGTCCTCGGGCAGGACATCCTCGATTTTGGCGACCAACGCGTCTGCCGCCTCGCCTGTGTGCGTTCCGGGGATTTCCAGGATACGGGACCCGGTTCTCCTACTCTGAACCTCAGGTCGGTGATACCGAGCTGGGCCAAGGAAATCTTGGCCTTCGCTTCGGTGAGCACCGACCTGTAGGTGACGCCTCTCTCCTCGGCTCCCGGCCTCATGGTGAGAACCACCGCCGATGACCGAGGAGGGCGTGCTTTCGCCTTCTTCTTCCGAGCGGGAGTCTTCCGCTGCGGTTCCTCTGTTGGGCCGCCGCGTGGCCCCTTCCCCGAGCGCGCATTGGCGGGAGCCGCCTGGCCTGCGCCAGCACCCTTGCGCTTCCCGCGCCGTACCACCGTCGACCATCCCTCCTTGTTTGCTGAGGTCGACGGTGGCGGGACACTTCCTCCGCTGGACTCCCCGATCTGTGGGGCCCTATCAGCCGCTGCACCGGATGATCCGGCAGTAGGCATACTCTTTGCGGCTTTTGGTGGCCGCGTTCGCTTCGCCGAGATCCGCTCCTCCATCTCGGCGAAGCGGGTGTTCATGATTTCGCCTACTCGCCGGATAATCCGGTCTTCGGCGTCCTCCGTCAGGGTCCGGGGCGTGGCACCTTGCGGCGCTTCCGCCGTGGTCCCTGAGATGACCACTGGAGGCAACTCGGCAGCGGTTTTGGCCTCCTCTAATTGCCGCATCGCTTTGTGAAGGGCGGCGCGGTCGAGAGCGTTCGAGTCCTTGAGCTCCTTCAGCTGTCGAACGCTGTCGCGCGCCTGCCGCTCCCACTCCTCGCGCTCCGCCTTCAACGCGGCCAGTTCTTCGGCCAGCGCGGCGGAAGACTGCGACGCCATCTGGAGCTGTCGGAACTTCTTCCTCTCCTCGACAGACTCCTTCAGCATCGCAGCCTTCATTTCCCGGACCTCGTCCAACTCCTCACGGAGTTTGCGGACCTCCCGCCTGAGGGCTTCCTCCTCCGGGTTTGACGACCTTTGCCTCAGGGCACCCGCCGCCGATCGGATGGTGTGGATGGCGCGGTTGATCTCACCGACTATGGTACCCTTCAGGTTGCTGGACTTTCTCACTGCAGCAAGGACCTGAAGGGCACTGTCTTCAACCTTGGCGCCCAACTCGTCGGCGCCCAGCGTGGTGTTCTCCGCTGACTCCCTACGGGCGCGCGAGACGGACCTGGACGATTCGGGTTCAGAGGCCGAAACCCCTGTCCCCGATCGTGCCGCAGACTTGGCCGCTCGCGCTCCCCTCTTGGCCGTTGGAGGGCCCTTGGCCCTACTTCTTCGAGCCGCTGACGACAGCTGGATCTCATCATCGTCAGAGTCCAACTCGTCCTGACCCCTCTCCACGATCCGCCTCTTTCGATGTTTTTTGGGGGGCGAGGTACTCCCTCTAGCCTCCCCAATGTTATCGTCGGATCGGAACGACATGGAGGACCCTGTACACTCCGAGTCCATGTCCGCCACATGCCGTTCGAGGGCCTCTAGATAATCGACGGCCCCGTACTTCCTCATCAGCTCCCTCTTGTACATCTCCTCATTGCTGTTCGTGTCCCCCCCAGAAGACGTGGGACAGTCCACCCCCGGCAAGTCCGGTGCGGTGGAGGAGGATTCTCCGGCCGCTAAGCGGCCGGTACCTCCCTGGGGTAAATTCTTCTTTCGATCAGCCATTCATAGATGTGGTGTGATTCCTTTTTACGGGTGTGGTCCCGGACTTCTACCAGAAATAGAAAACGAAAACAAAAACAAAAAGACAGCAAAGACAAAAGACAGAAAAAGACAGATAACAACCAAAACGAACTAAACCAAAACAAACAAATTTGAACCCAAAGAAGAAGAACAAAACAACCGAACCAAAAGAAGAAGAACAAAAACAAAAGAAAAACGAAGAGAAAGTTGAGGGGGTTCGCCGGCTCCGGCAGCCTCGACTTTGTCGAGGCATGGGAACCGCGAACACGCCCAACCTGCCGGGCTACTGGCCGACATAGTAGCCGTATCCCGAAGGAACGACTACTATCCCGCCCGGGGCGTACCAGAACCAAACCATTGCTCGGCCACCGTTCCCCGCGGACGTATCCACGAGGATGGGGAAGCCTCCCAATGGCAGGCCCATACTAGGAGGTTGCCCGACCCACGCCCCCAACCTAACCTAACCTTTTTTTTTTTTTTTAACGTGTGGAAAAAACGAAATATACTGTAGCCTTCGCAAGTTCTAAACATGTTACTTGTCGGTTCCTATTTTAATATTAATAGTAACTAGCAATCGAAAGTAATAATTGGTATATGAGAACTGGCCAAGTTAGACCTTAGGCTACAGTATATTATCCTAAGTTATAAGAAGAAATGATATTTTATATTGTTATAAATACATTTCAGGACAGACCATTGAACTTGGCACCCATTTAGATCTCATCTCTTTTGTCGTAGAAGTCAACAATCAAGGCATATATCATAATATTAAACTCGG